ACCGGAGATATTAGCAAAATCATAATAAATACTAAAAAATAAGCTCTTAATTACCTTATTTTTCCAACACGGTATCAGTAGCCCTCTTAATTATGCCCATTCTAACAAAAAAATAAGATAGAAACAGTTAGTTTATTTTAAAATCGACGAAATATCAGAATACCATAATAGCAGAGGTATTAATATCTAATAATTAAGAAATTAATAACAGTGAACAATAAACGATCATTCAGTGAAGTCATGGTAAGCTTTGGAAAAAAGTTGCTTTTGACGTAATAGTATAAACGTCAACATTTTGATAGTCTTATTAGCGTTTTTTATCTTTTGATTGCTTTTTCAAAATGCCAACAACTTCAACTATTTCAAATAATAAAGGCATTTTGAAAAAGCAATTAAAAGATAAGAAACGCTGATAAGACTATCAAAATGTTGATCTAATAACAATTTGACGTTTATACTATTACGTCAAAAGCAACTTTTTTCCAAAGCCTACCATGACTTCAGTGAATCATCGTTTCGTGTTCACTGTTATTAATATCTTAATTATTAGATATTAACACCTCTGGTATTATGGTATTTCGTCGATTTTAAAATAAACTAACTGTTTCTATCTTATTTTTTTGTTAGAATGGGCATAATTAAGAGGGCTACTGATACCGTGTTGTAAAAATAAGGTAATTAAGGGCTTATTTTTTGGTATTTATTATAATTTTGCTAATATCTTCGGTTTGAAAGAAGATATCAAGATGAGGTTTTCGCTGACTTTTTAAGCTTTTACTACTCTTTACTATCAGCTAAAATTACATATACTATTGCATTTAATTTTTTTGAAAAAACGCGCAATATTTGTTAAATTGTAAGACAACGCCCCCTAGCGTCTACGTTCAAAAGCTTATTATTATTGTTTATATGGTACAATATAGAGTAAGAAACGCTCTTTTAAACGAGCCCTCGCTTGTTGGATTGCGATCATCCAGTCCACAGAGTTATTAATATTTAAATAAAAACAGATCTAACATTCCCCCACCACTTTATCTTGGTAGATAGGGGAAAATGGCTTTAACAAAAAATATTCAAAATCTACTGAAGATTTTGAAGCTATTACTTATAGTACACCTGATCTAGGCAAAATTGTGTAAAAACTCCATTTTATTATTTTTGTTGCAGTTGCGCCCCCTAGCGGTCGTTCTACAAACTTGACTATAATTTCCAGCAATTTCCCATAGCCTCTTTAGTTATAAATATTTTTTTCCGCAGCCCCTATGGCTAATACTTTCCGAGATACAGCCGAGAGCTATTCTTAGTGGGACACCCTGTACATTGAACAACATTAATACTAAATAAAAAAAATTGTGTGTGCACTATGTGCGCCTATTTGAAATGAAACTTTTTACAAACAGCTATTAAGTTGAAGGATTTGAAAGATATATATTTTTTATGAATACTCTCTATAAACTTCAAAAAAATAGAGTTAATAAGTATAAAACCGTATACTATTCCAGCTCATAAATTTATGTTTTTTTTTATTTTTATTAAAAAACGATAATTCTTTTACCCGGCCGGATAACCGTAACCATTAAACCAAGACACTAAGTACATCTACTTCTTGGTTACAGGTCTGTTCCCAGAAGAATCCCTGACTAGTCAGCACGTTTCTCATTGGTTAAAATGCGTAGAAACCTGATTGTTAGTCAGGTTTCTACGCATTTCAACCAATAAGAAACGCGCTGACTAGTCAGAGATTCTTCTGGGAACAGAGCATACATCTATATCTCTGACTACTACCATAGATTAGGTATACTATATACAGATATGTACTATATACAGATATGTACTATATACAGATATGTACTATATACAGATATGTATATATACAGTTAACAATCTTGTCCCTAATTCGTGGTACGAAAATTGTTTTTTATGACTATGAGCAAACGAGTAAAATTTCCTGTGCGCAAAAATAAACTGGCATTTAAAGAGCGTAATAACTGGGCCGGTCAGGCGCTGTACACAAGTGTGGCCATAAGTGGGCGTGCTATGTGCGCAAACTAGTAACCTAACTAGTGCGTGACTCCGAAAATTGGAATCACGAAAAACAATGCTTTTGACGATAAGTTTATAATCTGTATAATCTGTGCTACTACTAACTGTCACTAATCAGCAATTTGTTTTGTGTAGTCTGTAGTCTGTTTTTGTTCAAATGTTTTATTCATTATTCATGTTGGGGATTGATTTTTAAATTAATGTTAATAGTTCGGTCCACATTAAAAATTCATAGAATATGTATTTCTTTCGCATAATCAAAATTGTCGCTCTAAATTTTACATAACCAAATTGTCACTCTATATCGCTGTCTTTTTTAGACAGATGTCACTTGTCTTTTCATTGTTTAATTCATTATTCGAATTCTCAGAATGTTGTTGACAAAAGTTTCATCTTAAAATAAAATTTTAATCAATCACAATTGTTTATCTCCATCATTTACCGGATTAATAATACAGAAATTACAACTCTATTACGAACAATTCATTAATTGTAGTGATTTACAGTAATTTTATTAAATTATACGAATGTCTATTCTCGTTGATTATTTGTTTGAAATAAATGACAGTGTCCTCCAATGAAAATGCGAGTTACTAACTCTAATAAATTCTAATTCTGAGCTGGCAAATGAGCTAAATGGTTTACCTAGACCGTTATTCAGAAAGTACAAACATATCAATGAAAATATGCATGAAATCAAGGTTGGTACAGTTTCAAGTGTATTATAGTGATTTTCTTAGCCGCGTATGGCACAGATCGTTACCCAGTGTTGCCAAAAGCTTATTTTTCATCGGGGTAGATTATCACGAGATAACGGGGTTAAATTGTTTTACAAAGGGGTAGACCTACCCCGAATGGGGTAGCTGTGGCAACACTGCCGCTATCACTTTTCCTCCCGCTAGCTCGCCATTCAAGGCCGTGTGTCGTGTGTCACGTCATTAAAAAGAATAATCCAATTCTGATGTAATTTATGCAATCATGTAACGTATGCAATCATAGCATTGCTCGCACAGGCAAGCCTAAAAATAACAGAAAATATAACTTACTTACCTGTGAATTAAAATGACAGACAACTGTCACTGTCAGGTAGGTATTCTCTCGTTAGACAAACTTTACAAAAATAAAGCCGAGAATAAATCCAAAAGTTGTTTTAGGCCGAAGTCCGGATTTAGTCCGAATATCAGAGCTCACTTGCCAGGAATTTCCAAAAACTTGTATGGAAACCGTACTCATAAAGATTAAATGAATAACAAAAATATAAAAAAATACATTTTTTCTCCCTTCCAACGTCAACATCAACATTTTACTTTCAGTATGAGAAGTACCAATTGTTAATAATAAATATAAATCATTCGAAAATAACGCATAATAAAATAATTATTCACCTAATAAAAGCTATTCATGTTTTTGCATAATATATACACAGATACAGACCAAAATTAAGAATAGTATAGCATTATACATATCATATTAATTATAAAATACAACCTGATGTAATAAATAATTAAAAATCCTATTTTTTTCATAACAAATTTGTGGACTGAAATCCATGTTATTTCAAAGTCTAATTCCAGCAGCGCCATCTGTTACAAAATAGCATCATCTCTCGATCTCCGTCAAAAAGAAATTCTCAAACTCAAAAAAATGTTCAGATGAAGTTCACATATTTTTTATAACCCAAAATATGTTTAACGGGAAATTAGAAAATTCATTATCAATTAAATATGAAAATAAAGCCATTTTCACAAAAATTGTGGTTTATAAATACAATAACAAGTTAAAAACCACATTATGTGTAACGGCACTTGTCATTATGAGAATCATTTCAAGGAAAACTTGACCTAAAACAAGCTTGATAAACGTAACCCTTCTCTTTTGTATCGTTCTGTTTCTTTTGTTAAACACTTAGAGAAATCTTTCAGGACAAATTTTTAATAGAATAAATCTTATCACTAAGGCCCAAAAGTATTTGCTAATCGCATTTCTACAGAAAGGCGGTCAGTGAACTAAATAGGTCGACCATGACTTTGCCATTGCCCTTTTCTGTATACAAGCCATTCCTTTTATCTCTTTAAGTCATAAAATGTTCCACTTACCTCGGTCAGAATTATCCATAGCTCTTTCACCAGAGAATCCAACTTGTATACCGCAAAACTATAGCACTTTTCACTTAAAAAGTTCAAATAAACACAAAGTCAGCCTACTTTCAATACGGTAAACATGGCTGAAACATGGTATAATTGACCACTAAACTAAAGCACACGATAAAGAGGTTCACTTAAAATAAGTTTTGCACGGTAAAACTTTAAATTTACGATGTTTTTTTCATTAAATTTTCACAGGAGATTTCGTAATTTGGATAATTATTTTCGGACGGCGACCTGACCGAGTTGTTAAACGAGAAGTGGCACAGGTGGCGCCATCAACCATCAAAGAAACGCTTTGTTTTATTTTGATTACAGATCAATTATTTTCAAGTAGCTTTTGTTTTTCTTTTACTTGTTAATAATCTATAAAAAAAAACTTTTAATTCAACGAAATTATTTTAAACATAATAGTAGCAAAAAATTATTCAGTAAATATCTGAAAAATTGTTATTATTTAAAAACATATTATGCACAATTTTTATTTTGTAAGATGGCAGCACAAGGTTAATGGATGTGTGTTTAAAGAGTTGCATAACGAAGAAAATGAAAATTTTAAATATTATGTTTTTCTAAACTTTCTGCATTATCGGAAATATCGTATTAATTTCCATGTAATTAAATGCATGGGTTACCAATGCATGTAAATTTGTTAACAATATTCGCGTATAAACAAACATTTTTTGTAGAACAGGAAAGTTGTAGGGTGTATTAAGGGTTGCCTATCCAACCTCAGTTCACTACTTATTTATTTTATTATGTTATTTACCTGATATGAAAATAACAAATGCAGCCGAGTGAGCGGAGTTTGACTTTTCGTTTGTCACGTGCGTATGTGTTTAGATTTTAGTTTGTCATTTCAGATTCTCCAGATAGTACTTGACGATTCTCAGAGGATTATAAATCGGTACGAGTGCGAGCAATACTTCTGGAGCAAAAGACTGAAAAGACCGAAATGGGAGTGGCCTTATTCGCGCATTGACAACTCGAATTCATGGATACGTGAGTGCGGGGTTCATACTTTTTCTACTTTTAGTACACAGTGAAAATTGAGTGTGGAGCCTCGGAATCCTTTCCAACGGTACGTATCGGAAGTGCCGAGTTAACGTGTGTTCAGAAATAAACTACGAGCTCTCGTAATTCGGATTTATATCGTTTTAATTCGCGACGAAGAATAAAATACAACGAAAGATTTTCCTCTTGTGTGTTTAAGTGAAAATTCTCGCGGAAAAAGACTACTATCGATTGAGGTAGTGTTTAATCTAATGCCGTTTCAAGAAGTCAACAGTGTTTTTAGCAACGATACTGCCATCTAATCAGTGTAAGTTGTTCATTAATTTTGATTTTCATACATGATTGCTAGAGATATGTTTATAGTACATGGGTGATAACACAGAAAAATAACACTTAGGTAGTACTTAGTATCATAAATAGGGAGGATGTGTATGGGTTAATGTAATTTATTGTAACATGTTGATTACTTGATTAATTTAATTGATTTTAACATGTCAACAATACAATGTAGGTACATTACAACTACCGATTAATTTAGTCATTAAAATCTGGATTAACTTCTATAAGTACATAATTATAAAAGAAATCATTATGGATTCATATTATTTGTAATCGAATGTTAGTACTTATTGCATATTATTATTGTCTTTTAAACAAATATTAAATATTATCACTTATACCTTTGTCAAACTTATATAGAATAATTTTTAAACTCTTTATCCCCAAAGTTTACATTGAAAATAATCTCTGGCTAAATTCAGAAAAAAAATCTATTTTCGTACTTACCTATGTTATAAGACTCGGTACAAAAATAAAAAAAGTTTCAAATTTTAGCTAAGTTAATAATTAATTTTAGCTTAATTTTATTTTTATTTATCTAAATTCAGTTAGTCACATTTGACAAGTTGGTAACTTTATGTTATAAATATTTTAACATGGTTGTTTGGTGCTAGGGAAGGTTAATCCGAGGGTTAATCTGAAAAGGACCTACTTTACGCAAATTTCGATCAAGTTTTAAGACGATCACCCGTCCAAAAGATCCTCTTGTTTAATGTCGCTTACCTACCTATCTACAGGGTGAGTTTCCTACGATGTTCTCTATGGGTATCTCGGAAACTACTGGAGATAGAGAGTCGGTTAAATGGGGAAAGAATTGCAGTTTTGTGGGGTCATAAATATGCGCCTTTCAGATTTTTGAAAAAGTTCATGGCTTACTAGATATTTCGAACAAAAACAAATTTCGGCTATTTTGAAAATTGTCCCTAATTCCATTATAATCTATTGTAGACAAAAAGTTTTCAGATGAAAGTTGTAGATTAATCACATCCTTATTGAGATTGTGTCCTGCGTTTTTTTCTAAAGCCGGTCATTTTTGACATATGACACAAACATGTTTTTTTAAATGGAAACCATAGTTGGCCATGACTTCATAAAAAGCGCCATTTTTTTTGCTTTTCAGCGATATAAGCTGTAATATGTTTTCTTCGAAAAATTACTGAGTTATAGCCAATTCTTATCATTTTTAAAAAATTTCACTTAGTTAGGCCATGGAAACAAGTTCAATCGCCGTTGCTCTCAGAAATGTGAAGCTGTCACATCCAAACTTTGTAAATTAAAATAAACAAAAAATTGTAAATATGAATTTTTCAAATGAAGAAAAGCGTGTAGATACTCGCGCATCAATAGAGTGGTTCCAACATGACTTTCATAGTCATTTTTTATTTCATTTTAGTTTGTGTAATGTAAATTGTACCGTTTAATAAGATATTTTGACTTTTTATGAGTTATAAATCACAGCCCCGGATCTAGGGGGGGGGCAAACCGGGGCACCTGCCCCGGGCGCCAATGTCAGGGGGCGCCAAAATCATAATATAATATGGTTGAAAATCTAAAAAATCGCCCCACAAAGCGCCTAGTATGCACCTTACGTTCTTCTATCAAGTATTCATTTAATTTTGAAACGTCCAGTTAGTTTTTGAACACATTCTAAAGTTTCATTCAGAACCTCGCTATTAGTGGAATAAATTAGCTGTTTCAATTATTATACTTTATACTTTTTAGTTTACGATCATTCACAATGTTTAAAAGCACAATTAAAATTAATAGAATATTCTAGCAACAGCTTGCGGTAGTCAGTTGTATATAAAGAAAGCCAAATATTTAGCTTATAAAACAATAAACTTTTGATTTCTAACCACAATTTCTCTTGTCGCATGCTAATCAAAAGCCAAAACGACATTTCCCTCAAATTTTGAAGTATAATTATTGGAAAAGTCAAAAGTTTGTTTACTTTTTCTACTAATTGAAAATGACTACCACTAATTTAGATGTTCTGAATGCTTACTTTGAAATTAATGGAACAAACTTCTACGCTAATTGAAACCACTAATTCGGAGGTTCTGAATGAAGCTTAAGGGCCCATTCTGTACCGTTTACGAAAAATGCCTACCTATATCTAGATATTTGTAAGTTTTTTAAATTAATTTATTGCAAACGCTGCAGAGAGGGGGCGCTACTATCAATTTTTTGCCCCGGTTCAAAAAAATTGTAAATCCGGGGCTGATAAATCATAACAGAGTAAGAATACCATGCAATTTAAGTGAAATTAGTCAAGAAAGATAAGAATTGGCTATGCTATAACTAAATTTAACTTTTCTAAAATGTCTTGAAAACCGTTCTCTAAAAAACGTAAGTAATGTTCACCGGTCAACGTATCCTCGAAAATGTTTGGTCAAGAAAAGTTGAACCAATAATCCTACACGCTTTTCTTCATTTGAAAAATGCATATTTACAATTTTTGTTTATTTTAATTTACAAAGTTTGGATGTAACAGCTTCACATTTCTGAGGGCAAAGTCGATTAAACTGGTTTCCATGGCTAACTAAGTGAAATTGTTTAAAAATTATAAGAATTGGCTATAACTAAGTGATTTTTAGAAGAAAACATATTATAGCTTATCGCCGAAAAGCTTAAAAAATGGTGCTTTTTATGAAGTCATGGCCAACTATGGTTTCCATTTAAAAAAAAACATGTTTGTATCATATGTCAAAAATGACAGGCTTTAGAGAAAAACGGAGGATACAATCTCATTAAGGATGTGATTACGGTTCCAGTCGATATTACGGATACTAAAAACGTTAAATTTTCCATACAGATTAGGTAGAAACATCGAATATTAGCACTTTACTACATTATATAGATGTGGATTGACATAGTTTAGGCACAAAAATTCAAGAAAACCTCTTTGTAAGCGTAAAGATTAAGAAAATACATGTATTTACAATATTCCGTGCTAGCAACCATTCACATTTTCGGTTGTCAGCTGATCGACTGCCTTCGCGTGCTATATGCGACGTTGTCAATATAATTATTTTATATAATTTTCTACTGAAGTGAGGTTATATTAGATATTCTTTTAAGGGTTCTGTGGTTTTGCATTTTTGGTTAGCTTTTCTTTGTAGAGGGTGTTAAGCTGTGGTTTTTATATTTTAATAATTAACTGTGATTTTGCAAAAATATTATTAGATTGGTTAGGATTTGGGTTGCTTTGGTTAGTGTTTCTTTGTGGAGGGTGTTAAGCTGCGGTTTTTATATTTTAATAATTAACTGTGATTTTGCAAAAATATTATTAGATTGGTTAGCATTTGGGTTGCTTTGGTTAGCTTTTCTTTGCGGAGGGTGTTAAGCTGTGGTTTTTATATTTTAATAATTAACTGTGATTTTGCAAAAATAATATTAGATTGTTAGGATTTGGGTTGCTTTGGTTAGCATTTCTCTGTGGAGGGTGTTAAGCTGTGGTTTTTATATTTTAATAATTAACTGTGATTTTGCAAAAATATTATTAGATTGGTTAGCATTTGGGTTGCTTTGGTTAGCTTTTCTTTGCGGAGGGTGTTAAGCTGTGGTTTTTATATTTTAATAATTAACTGTGATTTTGCAAAAATATTATTAGATCGGTTAGGATTTGGGTTGCTTTGGTTAGGTTTTCTATGGTGAGGGGGGTTAAGCTGTATTTTTTTATATTTTAATACGAATCTGGGTGCTTTGAATGATTTGATTTTAAACACAGATTTTAAAATAATTCATTTGTTTTCACCGTGATGGCGCCACCGTAGAGGCCGTTCCTTCGGCGACCGGCACGTGAAAAATTGGCGTAAAATAGCGGCAACGTCGCACAGGTTAATTCATCATATGTTTGTGCCATCTGTCAAAATTCCTTCGCAGCATCAAATAGTACCATCATTTTATTTCAATATTTTAAAATTTACTGGATAATCCGCAAATTTTTTTGGCTTAAATTACCTACTAAAACACGTACTTTTCAGGATAATTTTTGTTTTTTTAAAATTCTTGTGTCCGTAAAGTCGAAAGGACCCTGTGATTACCTATCTACAACTTTTATCTGGAAACTTTTTATCTAAAATAGTTTATAGGTAATGGAATTAAGGACAAAAAAAACTGAATTTTGTGTATGTATTAGACAGTGTGGCCAAAAGTAACACTTTATAAATTGTATTTCATTTTTTGACGAATGCTTACCTATTTATAAAAACAGAGACGTTCATTTTCATAACTTATTTTAATTTACAAAGTTTGGATGTAACAGCTTCACATTTCTGAGAGCAAATATGATTAAACTTGTTTCCATGGCTAACTAAGTGAAATTGTTTAAAAATTATAAGAATTGGCTATAACTAAGTGATTTTTAGAAGAAAACATATTATAGCTTATCGCCGAAAAGCTTAAAAAATGGTGCTTTTTATGAAGTCATGGCCAACTATGGCTTCCATTTAAAAAAAAACATATTTGTATCATATGTCAAAAATGACAGGCTTTAGAGAAAAACGGAGGACACAATCTCATTAAGGATGTGATTACCTATCTACAACTTTTATCTGGAAACTTTTTATCTAAAATAGCTTATAGGTAATGGAATTAAGGACAATTTTTAAAATAGCCGAAATCTGTTTTTGTTTCGAAATATCTAGTAAGCCATAAACTTTTTCAAAAATCTGAAAGGCGCATATTTATGACCCCACAAAACAGCAATTCTTTCCCCATTTAACCGACTCTCTATCTCCAGTAGTTTCCGAGATACCCATAGAGAACATTGTAGGAAACTCACCCTGTATAGTCTGCCAACGACTCAGGGAAGATTTCTACACACAACATTTAACCAGGATTTTCAAACGAGTTTTTGGAAATTCTGGATAAGTGAGCTCTGAAATTCTCACAGTGAGAGTTATTGTCTTGTCATTGGACGGACGAATAGATTTCAAATTGCAAGTCTGACTCAGGATGCTCTCTCTCTCTCTCTCTTGACGATTCCATACGCGAAAGGAACACTGGATAAGATCTGACTGAATGAATAAGATAATAGCCAAGCAGTATAAAATTAAAACTGTTTTTAGTCTTTAGGACTACTCTAAGAAGTGTCCTAACAAAAATAAAACCGGAATCATCAAATCAAGAGAAAGGGTGTATCTGCCAGGTACCTTGCGAGTGCCGTGAGGCTATATTGGAGAGCAAAACGTCCTCTACATGTACGACTTGACGAACATAAAAAACATACGCTCATAAAACGCTCCAATGCAGGTCTTCTTAATGGAAAACCTCGTGCTTGACTGCACACAACAAATTCACGCGAGAATGCTCGGCTCTTGTAAGCAGTTTTAGGATTTAGTTTAGTTCACACTTGATAACGGTCAGTGATACTTCTGACCGAAACGTTGTGTAAGCAAAATAAAGACAATGGAAGTCCGAAACTCTATTAGTTTTAATTTTAATCCAGGTTTTAATACTGAATCATCGTCTTCCACATTCAAAGTAACGTAAAGCACTTATAGGAGAGGCAAAACGTCTTCTACATGTAGGAAATGACGAACAATGAAGTCGGGTAATTATATGTATATCGAGCAATAATTTGTACACTCGTTGAATTTGATATTTAATATCAGTTTAATTTAATAATATATTTTTGTATTCTTGCGCTTAGGCGTAAAAGTGCTTTAGTTTTATGCCTATGCGTTAAAATGACAAAAATTAATACTTTTGGGACGTTTGAAAAAAATCCTTTTGATCGAAGCGAGCGACTTCTTGTGACCGATGGCACGCGCCGGTATCGGGATTTAGCCAGTTAGGATAGGACTTTTAATTGGAAATTAATCTTAATTATTTGGAAATCCGATTTAAATAATGTTTTCTATTAAAATAAAAAAATCTGATTTAAATTAAAAAAAAAAAGATTTTTTTAAATTATTTAAAAAAATTGTAATTTTTGCTGCTATAGCAAGCAGTTGGTTATTGTCTGGAATAGTTTACGTACATGTGTAAATCAGGGTTGCCAGATGAAATTTGACACGTGTCGCAGAACTCAAAAGTTTGAGATAGCCCAATGTCGCAGATTTTGCCAAACCTTCAAAAAAGCCCAAAATCGCAGATCAAAAATACATGACGTCTCTTTTATCGTTTTTTTCTTGTGACTTTATTAAAAGGCAGCTGTTAAGATAGCCCAAAGTCGCAGATTTTGACAAAAAGCAGTAAAAAAAACCTGTTTTTTGAAAAGTGGGGTAAAGGAAAAAGAAGAATTAAAGAGAAATAATTGTTAAATTTTGGTTAATATAATATTATGATTATATTGAACAGCATTTATATTAATATGCAGTGTTCCTAAATATCATGTACAAACGAAAGGGGGTGATTCTTTGGCTCTTTGACATATTTTATGACTAAAGTTTCATATAAACATAGATCTGCAAACGTTTGGTTTTCAAGCTACAGGGTGTCAAAATTTTACCTAATTAATTTTTTTCTAATAATATCTCGACAAATCCTTTTGCTGGTTTTGTGAAAATTTGCAAGTGTTATTTATTGACAAGATGCAAGAAGCTAAGTTAGCACTAGCCAAAAAAACACCTCTTTTCGTTTGCAGCCCAAAAATTTTGAGAATCGCCCAATTTGCGACTAGTCGCAGAAAGATCAAATGTGTCCCAAAATGGTTTTTAAAGTAACCCAATTTGCGACAAGTCGCCCAATCTGGCAACCCTGGTGTAAATTATGCATTTATATATATATATATATATATATATATATATATATATATATATATATATATATATATATATATATATATAATATCCCATAATATTATTGTACAGGTGGCGCCTCTCATACGACGCGGAGGCTCCAAGGAGAACAGTAGTTATATATATAATATCCCATAATATTATTGTACAGGGTGGCGCCTCTCATACGACGCGGAGGCTCCAAGGAGAACGGTAGTTTTATATCAAAATGAAATTTTAATTTTTTGAATTTTGGGACCATATTATGTAGGTGAACTGAGACGGTACCAATTAAAAGCATGTTTTAAAAATATTATAGAGTTCTACAGGGTGTCCCCAAAAATAGTTACACATCAAAGTTGTGTTTTTTGTATTGGAACACCCTATATATTAACTGATTTTCAGATTCTAAGAGAAAAATAAAGGTGAGTTCTATTACAGAAGTGTATGACTAAAATGTAAGGTTCTTGACATATTTAACATTTTCTAAAAATGAAGAACAAATTTTAAATTTCAATAAAAGCTACCAAAATTGGAATTTATCCGGTATGGCTTAATATTGTAGGTTGTTACTTTAAAACAGATTAAAACTTGACACAAAAAGTTAAACAGGGCGAGACAAAATTAATATTGAACATTAGTTACCTTTACAAGCAAGTTACTTTTTTATTTTAAATGTACACCCAGTGTATTTTATTATTCCGATATTTTATTATTCCGATATTCTATGGAAAATTAATGTCTCTTCAAAATATTATAAAGGTTGCCTACCTCTCAAACAAAGATTTTCGAAACTCGCTATTTTTAAAAAATGCTCTAAACTAACTAGTATGCTACCAAAATTTAATTTCGATATAAAGACCGTTCTTCTTGGAGCCTCCGCGTCGTACGAGAGGCGTCACCCTGTATAATGTACCGGTGCGTTATATTAAATTAATTTTGTTACAACAATACCTAATTTGGTTAGTTCCATGTTTACTATACTAAGACTAAGATTTACTATCTTGTTTCAGGTGATAAACCCACGATGTTCCAGGACTTAACATAGGCCAGTCGACGTCGTCGGCGCCCCCGCCCGCCGCCATGCTCATAGCCGACGGCGCTGCCGCCTCCGCCGCTGGCACCCCTTGCCCTGCCTCGCCGGGGGGCGGGGTCTCGATCGCGCCTCCCTACACAGCGCTGGTGGACGCGGCGGGCGTGGTCTGCGTGATGCCCAGCCCCACGGCGCGCCCCCTGAAAGCAGCGGCGGACGTGAGGGCGCTAGTGCAAACGCGGAGGAACGACGAGCTGAAGCAGCTGTTAAGGAGTAACGCGTGGCCGGCCAACCATCCCGTTCGCAAGTGAGTATTAGAGGATATTATGAATCCATTAATTTTTAACACTGAATCCACGATCAGTAGATCATCAGTAAAATTCTTAATTTAAAGTCTAGTATAGTTTTCTCGAAGTCACATGGAATAAGTTGGGACTTTTAATTCATCGTCTTGATAAATGAATTAGAGTCCCAGTATTTCCAATTGATTTCGGAACAAGGCGGTGCCTACCAGGGAGCGCAAGTGGTGTAAGGCACCTGGGCGCAAAGCTCGAAAGGCGCCAGATCAAATTGTTTACTTATCCAGATCATTAAATACTTAAATACTAAAAATGAATGCATTAAGTAGCAACCAGGTGATGCCTTGAAGCACAGCCTTGGAGTATGTTTATAATTATTCTATATCTATATTATTTTATAGTTATTCTATAATAAGAATAAAGCTACCGGTAACAGTGGCTAGTGGAGAATGCCTATTTTCAAATTTGAAAAAATTAAATTTATCAAAAACTATTTGCGTGCATCAGAAACGGTTCAATAACCTAACTTTAATCTCCATAGAGAGACAATTTCATTTAGTCTTCATTTTTTGGCATATATTATTAAATAAAATAAGTTAAAAAGTGTTTCAAAAATATGACAGCCGCTGAAGGTGAATATTTATATTGAATAATTATTCTGAGGATTTTAAGCTGTCTGTCTGTAACCAATTCTGAAATATTGGTCTTAATATAACAGTTTGCCATCTGTGACAGTCTGCAGAATCCAAACGATGTAGAATGTAGAATTAGTGTGAGGGGGGTTAGTCACCGCGACCTCACAGATCTATTGTGTCCCCCTTTCTTGAGTTATAACTCATCATACAGTCCCAGGGCTTTGACAAAAGCCAGTATCTAGGACGGTTTTACAGAGAGTGGTTCTCCATCTCCAATATCAGTCGTACCAAAGTTTATGGCAAGAATGGTTGTCGTTTCGACGCACTCAGTGATGAGGTGTTCTGGTGTTCCCCATTTTCCCAAGAGAATCTGCATTCGCAGTTTTTTCTTAGCTTCAATCTACTGAGGTATTCATTGAGGAGCCAGTGTCCTGTTAAAAACCCCGTGGCAATCGGAAGATTGTTCTTACTTAAATCAAGGTAAATCTGATTTTTCTTAGTTGTGAGTCCTCAGAACCTTCTTCGAGTGTCTAGACCGTTGCAGGATTCCAATTCCAGGTTACGGATGGAGTCTTCCAGGTTCTTAAGTTCCGGAATCCAAACGATGCAACACGGTGAAACACCTTACATGTTGCTTACACCATACTTTTTCATAAGCTATCGAATGATACTAATTTTATCGCAAGGGTAAAATTAATCTGAAGCCAAGGATTGAATTGGTAGTTAGTGTTAGTCGATATTGAAATTTCAATTTTAACGTGTAAGACCTACTACTAAATTTCAATCTAGAGTGCCATGGCTGTGTTAAAAACACTAATTTTTAATCAAGGAGCACTGGAAAAATAGATTTGATCGTCTAATGTTTTTCGTGGCTTGTCCTGGCCAGTTAAAAAAATGCCCAAATCGTATTTTTAATCATATCTCAATTTTTTCAAATGGTACAAGGGTGGCTCATTAGCATATTTGGAAAAGTTAATAATGTCCCAAGGGAGTTATGACTATGTTTATGGTAAACCAAACCAAGCGTAACCATAAGCTTATATTAATTCAGTAACAAATAAATGACTATACTAACATTTGTATTCTGTTTCAGAGAGTTGTGGCCCATCCTGTGCACGCAGCACGCTCACGCAGGCGGCGCGTCCGGTGACGGCTTCTACTGGGACATGGTGGTGCAGGTTTTCGGGTCGGTGGAACTGCCGGACCGGCCGGTCGCGTTGCCGTTGTTCGTCGAACCGTCACGTTGCAACGCGTACCACCTGACGAGGTCGGGACGCGCCTGCGCCGACCGCGTCATCAGCGTGCTGGGCTACGCCTGCCCGGATATAGTGTACAGTCCCGCCATCTATCCGATCTGCGCACTGTTGCTGCATTACGTGACTGGTAAGTGACTTCTTGGTCTCGTTCTTGGTTATAGTAACATCAATATGTTAAAGATTTTTCGTAGTTTCTATGGCATGGCAATAGAAAATGGCGGCATTCAAGGCTAAATTTATTTATCAAATTACTTGTCAGTTTCTCTCGTGCTCATGCTTTTTCTACTCTCTATTATTTATATTCTTTGTTTTTTTTTCTCAAGTAAAATTTCGACAGACGATGACAGAAAAAAACCAGATGACGTCCATACCAATCCATTTATTTCACCAAAAAAAGTTTTAATATTTTTTAAGTTAACTATGGATGGGTTTATACCGAGGTTTATACCTTATTAATAAATCCGTCATGGCTTCGTCTCTTGTTTTTGACCAGTTTTATTGGTTTAGATATTTCAAAAATGACAGATCATATTTCAATATTATTGGTTTGACGGAACGATGAACGACAAACGGACGCCGATGCGTAAATAACTGAACTCGACTTACGATTTTTGAGAGTTGTCAAACTTTTCCAAATTATAAGTTATAATTTTGTGTCAAATTATGTCAAATAGAAATGGCAAATATTTTGCATTTTCGACTGTGTACTGTGTTATTACTTGTGTTTCGTGTTTTTTAAAATTAAGTGGAGGAAAACTCGAGGGAAAATTAAGTGTTGTCCGAGACCATATAGTTTACAGTTTACAGTAATATATTAATTTTCTGCTATGCGTTCCCATTGTACCAACTTATTTCTTTGTAAAATAAAATAAACTACTTTGAAATTAAAATGACAGACACGTCTATCACTGTCAAGGATCTTGTCGTTGGACAGACTATATCATTCATTGTAATGATTTACAAATAGAATTAAAGAAGCAAGAGTGCCTTTCAAAAATTAACGAGTGCCTTTCAAATATTAACGATTATATTATTTTCTTGAGAGTTATAGGCAATTCTTATCATTTTTAAACAATTTTACTTAGTCATGTAAACAAGTTCAATCGTCGTTGCACTCAGAAATGTGAAACTGTCATATCCAAACTTTGTAAATTAAAATAAACAAAAATTGTAAATATGAATTTTCCAAATGAAGAAAAGCGTGTAGGATTATTGGTGCAACTTTTCTTGGCCAAACATTTTCGAGGATACGTTGACCGGTGAACGTTACTTACGAACAACGGAGACTCGCACATCAATAGGGTGATTCCACCATGACTTTCATTATGACACCCCCTCTCCACCATAATTAAAGAAATATTAAAAATTATTTATATCATAATTATGCAAACTCAGGGTTAGGAAGAGATGGACCAATTGCATGGGCCTCCTCGATCACCTGACCTATCCGTTTTAAGTTTTTTTTCGGTATGGTTAACAACAAGGTTTACAAAAAAACTTATGAATTAGAGAGGCGCTCGAAGAGGCGATACGGGAGAAGTTTAATAAAGTCGACCGGTCGTTCTGTGAGAATAGCTAGTAATTCATTTTTAAAAAGATGATTATGTGTATTATTTTGGTATTATTCAAAACAATGGTGGATATTTTGAACATTTTTGAAAATAACTTAAAGTGTATACTACTGATATTATTTTTTTAAGTTTTAGTTTGTGTAATATAAGTAGTAAAGAGCCGTTTAATAATATATTCTGTCTTTTTATAAGTTATAAATCATAACAGAATAAAGGTTGTCGCCCACTAGACCGCGGCGCGACGCGGCGCTGCGCTGTGTAGAAATTTCTTTTGTCTGCTTGCTATGTATGTAAATGGACCAACGCACATTAGAGCGCGCAGCGCCGAAGCGTGCCGTGAAATTTCCGTCAAGAAGTCGGAAGACTTCTCTAGCAACTTTTTTCCGTCTCCCGCGTTTCGGCGCGTTGCAGTGTGCGTACTCACAACGGAAGTAATTTTGCATCTCGGGTCTCTTAAGTTGGCTTTTTGACTAGGAACTAGTGATACGTATCAATGGTAGAATTGTATTTTAAAGGTAAATTAGACAAACAGATTTAATAAAGGAATATGATATTTTTTTAGTCTTCCCTCACTAGAGACAGATGGACAAAATGTTTTTCTATCAAAGATTTAATATAATTGAGAGGTGTAAAAGCAAAACCGGCAATCTCCACTTTTTGACAAAAGTGACAATCTCCAATTTTTAAATTCTAATTACCTAAATATATAAAAAAGATTAGGGGTTTTTCATCACATAACTAATATACAGTATACACATCAGAATAAATTAAAATTATCAAAAGTCGTCAGCTATACGCGATTCATTATTGCATTATTAGTAATTTGTCTCTTCTGAAAAAAATATGAGTAGAGATACCGGGTGTTTTGCTTCTAAAACCCTCAATTGAGGAGTTCGTAAAATGTTTCCTTTATATTTGAAAATAATACTGAAAAAAATGCTCTTGTATTATATTAAATCAGGAAAAAGATGGTAAAATTCTCCAAACTTCTTTCTTTTTTTGTTAATCTTATGAGTCCAAACTTTCCTTTTCTTCTTCACCTGTTCTTCGTTTTCCTCTGTTAGAAGAGCACAAAAAATACGCTTTCGTCCCTACTTGAACTCATTGCTTTAAAAACTAAACTATAGTAAGTAAAAAAACACTTCCACTAACTAAAGTATTAATATCTCAATATATGTGTATAACAAGAAAAAAAATATTGATAATATTAAAGACGTGACAACATAGGCTGGATGAGGAAGGCTCGGTCGACTGTACCCAGAAGTAAACATGTGTACAAAAAAGGTTGTTTGTCCGCGTTGAGATGTAAATAGTGTAGTCTATATTTTATTTTAAGTCTATGATGCCAACTAAGTGAAATTAGTCAAGAAAGATAATAATTGGCTAAACGGTAATTTTTCGAAAAAAATATATATTATAACTTATATCGCTGAAAAGCTTAAAAATGGCGGTTTTTATGAAGTCATGGCCAACTATGGCTTTCATTTAAAAAAACAAATGTTTTTGTCATATGTCAGAAATTACAGGCTTTAGAAAAAATCGGAGAACACAACCTCATTAGGGATGTAATTATCTACAACTTTTATCTGAAAACTTTTTGTCTAAAGTAGATTATAATGGAGTTATAGGGACTAGTTTTAAAATAGCCAAAATTTGTTTTTTTCGAAATATCTAGTAAGCTATGAACTTTTCCAAAAATCTGAAAGGGTTATGACCCCACAAAACTGCAATTCTTTCCCCATTTAACCGACTCTCATCTCCAGTAGTTTCCGAGATACCCATACAGAATATCGTAGATAACCCACCCTGTAGATAGTCAGAAAGTAAGAGATATGTTCTGGTGCTTCTGAGTACTTATTTCATTACTCTGTTATCTATCGCTAACGCGATTAGTGATAATACATAAACAGTTTCAAAAGGATCGTGTCGGTAAACGAAAATAAACCTTTGACAGAGACAGTGGCGGGTTGGGCGAGTGCATAATCGATTTCGCACCCGTAAAAATAAACACTCAAAGCGAGACCACAAAACCGAAAATTTCTCCGAAGCTTTATAAACAACGGCGCGACCCGCATCGCTTGCCAAAAATCCCTACCGATACCTCTATTTTTAGCTCCGCGGAATTCTCTCTCGATAGAGACGTACGGAAGGTATTGAAATATCGATGGTTTTAACAAATTTTATCGATTTTTAGGCCAATCAAATTAGAGGGGTCACTTGGAAAAAAATGTTGGAACGCTAATTATTGATTTGATTGGTTCACCTGACGTGAAAGAGAAGTTTTCTAGGTTTGCACGGTTGCTCGATCGTATAGTTCCGAAACGTTGCGTTCTAACGAATATTTCAGTATTACGTAAATTAAAGATAATTAAATTCTCTAATAGCCTCTACACTATGCGGAGAACTCTTCGAAGCAGGTCAAGGTTGCATTTTGTCGCCCAACTTTGTCGCATTTCGGTTTATTTCCAGTTGTCTTGACCCACTTCGGTTAACCTCTACTTATTTTCGATTCTTAAAAGCGCTTGAAAACTACTCGTGAGGAGGGCGTGGGGGTATTTTTTTTGGCGTTGCCGTTGCCTCGTTCAATTTTGTTTCGTTTTGAGCTATTTCCAAAATGTGGCGGTATCTGTACCCGAGGCAAAGTACTTTTTTTTTCATAAATCTCAGTGAAATAAGTAAACCTAGACGTTTCTAAATGATCAGACATGAAAATCAAATTTCTCATGTCCAAAAACTCCCAGACACAAATTTTCATCCAAATATTGACGTTACTTCTTAAATTATTTGGAAAAAATCGAATTAAAAAGGAAACTTCTATACCCTGTATCTCCGAAACTAAGCATTTTAGGACATACATTTATACGAACTTTTTTACTTATTTTAATCTGCAGAATATGCTGCCAAAGTTTCCGGAATACAGTTCGGACCACCCTGTATAGTAAGGGTTGGCATTTCTGGTCTTGGGTGCCGGTTTTCATGTGTACGAAGAGTACGGTCAACACGCTTAGTAAAATAAGATGTACTGAAATAAAGACAGAAGCGAGTATTTTCCCATGCGCATGGATTCTAGCGGCTAGCGTTAGATTAAGTAGTTATGTAATAAATACTTCGCATTTTTGCTCACTTCGACTAACTAGATTGCCATAACGACTCACTCCTATACATGTAAACGCCGACCTAAAGGTTTGCTTGCCAGTGGGGTATATGTGATGTAGTGTAACGTTTTTGCAATTAGAGCGCAGTCATCACGTCATCAGCGTATTGAAGTTCTGTGATGAATTTTGTACGTGTTTTTGCCCTCAGTCTTTTTATGTTGAACAGACCGCCGTCGTATCTGTATCTTATGCCCATTCCTCTTTCCTGCAGTTTGGTGTCCACTGTTCACTATAATGGAGAGCGCTGCCATGAATATGTTGAATAGAAGAGGTACTAAGACTCATCCCTGCCTAACTCCTGTATTCGTTAGGAAGAGATCGCTCAGTGGTCCATGATGGTGACACTCTTGGCTTGCTGTTGTTATGGAGGCTTTGAGACACTGTAAGAAATTTGTTTGGTA